CCCTGTGTAGTGCCTTTGTTGTTTAGTTTTGATGTATTGATTAAGATAGTCTCTTTGAAGTTATGTTGTCTGGCCCCTGCCCCCTCACACCCCTTTGTAGTCTAGTCCTTTGATGTGTGTTATAACAGGTAGGTGTGAAAAGCCCCCTGTGTAGTGCCTTTGATGTTAATCTAGGTGTTGATTAAGGCAGACTCTTTGAAGTTATGATGTCTGGCCCCTGCCCATCAGAGTTGAATAATTAGCCTTTGGTGTTTGCCCTTTGATGTGAGGTGTTATAACAGGCAGGTGTGATTTTCACACTGGTGTGCTATAAACCTTTGATGTTAATCTAGGTGTCTCTTTGAAGTTATGCTGAGACTGTCTACCCGCACCCGCCCCCCTCCCAGCCCCAGGCCTCTCCCCCTTTTCTCCACCCCTTCCTGTGGCTATGACGCCAGCAGATAGTGGGGGATGGAATTAGGTGAAAATTGGAATATGCGCAAACTAAATAAAAAGACAGTCATTTCCACTTACCAAGTCACCTTTTTAAAAAAAAAATGGCGTTTTTAATCAGCCTGTGCCAACTTGCCGCCATCCGTCCAGAGCACCAGTCAAGAAACGAATGCAGCATCAGTGAGGGGTTCAGACGCCTACAGCCTGTGCACAAACTTATCTCGTGCCTTCTTTTGGTCATGTGCGCGTGTTTCATGCGTGTTGGAGGAGGGGCTCTGTGAGGAAATACGCTCAATCTAAATATTTTGTCCGAAGGAATCGAACTCGTCCTTATTGGGACTTTGGGAGGGGTCTTTTTCTTTCTTTTAATGGGTGATCTGTCAAAGGGTATGCTGTCAATCATTCTTAAATCTCTTGAACTAGGAATCTTAGAAATGCGTCTTAATCCTCCCAATCCTAGCTCTTCCTCCTCCTCCTCATCGTCATCATCCCACTCAGCATGACTCCGCCTCCCCCTCAAAAAACAAGTCCCGCCCTCCTCACCAGATCATTTAAAAGTAAGGGGATGGAAATAGATGAAAAAAGAAATACGCTCAAACTAAATAACAAGCCAGTCATTTCCACTCATCAAGTCACCTTTCAAAAAAGAAAAATGGCCAAGAGACGCCTCGATATGGGTTTAATCAGTGAGACGCTTGTAACAACTTACCGCCATCCGTCCGGAGCGCCAATCAAGAAACGAATGCAGTATCTGGGCCGGGTTCAGACGCCTCCAGCCGAAGAACTTCATGAAGAATGGACTCTGAAAAATGGCGATGTTTGGGGTTATGTATTCAACTATATGGCGAATGAACTGCATTTCTACAATCTGAAGAATGGAGAAACGTATGGACCCCGTAGTGTTAAAGCGACACTGACCTCAACAGATTGGGCTGTGTTAACTCTGGTGTCCTCCAGAGATCTCCACGCAACCACTGTATCGGAAGAAGTAGTGCATCAAGAACAGGCGTGGAACCAGCGGTGTACAAGATATTTGCAAAGAAAAGCAAAGAAACGCAGACAGCATGCAAGACCAAGAAGAGTTTGCACCGCTGCCCCTCAAGGTGGAGGAAGAAGAAGGAGATATTTCCCCCCCGCCGCCAGAAGTGAGAAGAGTCCTGACAAGCACCGTCTGGGAAACTAAAAGCGGACCATCGGGGCGATGGTATTAACGCGCAAGCCGTATGGTGACGCTGGGGAAGTACCCCTCTGATGTTTTGTTTTGGAGTATTTCAACTCTACATGCAGGGTTTTTCAGACATCCTTGCGGGTGCCTCTGACTGCTTGGCTGAAAATGATTGATGGAAAAGCTACAAAGCTTAAAGAACTTTTTAAACAGAGTCAGACATCGATCAACATTATACTGGTGAAAAGACTCTCACTTTTGCAGAGGACTCCGCCTCCCAATCAACATAACAAGTCACACCCTCCTCACCAGATTTAAAACTAAGGACCCCTCAAAGAAAAGCATTGTGTTTTCTACCTATGTAAAAGAGCGTCGGGGTTGTCTTACGAAAATGTGTTATCTCTGTATCAAGATGATGTGTTTAAAAAGGAATTTTGTGAAAAATACCAACTGTGTGAGAGACGTCATAAAGACACTCATTTTAACCACAGTGTTTGTTCTCTACAAATGTTTAAAGATTGTTACAAAATGTAAAAATAAAAATAAAAGGTCTGGAGACTAAATTAATTCAGGTGACTCTGTCTTTATTAGGAAAACAAAAATATAATACAAATGGTTTAGGGGGTAAATGTAACCATCTTGGACTTAATAGTCTAACAAAATACTTTATCTGAATACATTTTTTCTTTTTAAGCGCACTTTTTGTTATTTCAGTGGAACAATCCAGTTTTTGTTAACATCAATGCTTTTTTCTCTTTTCTTGTGTTACTAAGATACTTTTAGACACACTTTGGCGTATGCAACACTTGTTCAGTTAAACAAGGTTTTTTCTTTTCTGATAACCTTACATATTTGAGTTATTTTCTGCTACCAAGATACTTTAAGATACACCTTGATGTACGCAACACTTAACAAAAGGGTATAATATGAAGTACTTGGTAAGGAATGGGTTTTTCTTTAAGGGGTGCAAAACTTTAGAACAGGGTAAAATATTCGTTAATTTGTAATGAATTGAGTTTTCTTTCTTTTGATTTTCAACATACTATTTGTACACAATGACTTTTCCATATTTCTGACAAACTATACTTTTTTTTGACTTTTTCCGTAAAATCTTGACAAACTATTACTTATTCTTAAATGTTGACCTATTGCTGCTTGGTTGGAGATGATAGATGAAAAAGCTACAACGCTTAAAGAACTTTTTTTTTTTTAAACTCTCAATTCTATAAATGACTCCCCCCATTCAACGCAATAAGCCCCACCCTCCACTCAGCAAATCATCTAAAACGAAGGACCCCACTAAGACGACCGTTGTAAACTAGCCATGGAGCTGAGAAAAACCAAGACTTCCCCCTGCGAGTTGCAGCCAGGAACAGACTCCTGGACTACCATCATCACCACCATTTTGGACACCCGAATCTTGCAATACTACTGCTGCTGATTTTGCTCCCTGGGCCAAAACGTCTCTGTTTATGGACACAGTGAAATCGGTGTTGGTTGATATTGTGGAGAGGGTGATACATCGGTACAGAGAAGAAATATGCAACGGGTGCCGAGTCAGTCACCCCGGCCAGAGGCAACACGATTTTCTGAATGACATGTCCGATTTTTACTTCAGAAACAATTACAACGCGTTAATGAAAAGACTCTGGCTCACCGACTTCATTACTGAGATCCACCAGACTCTTATTGATAAAGACATTTTCACGGATGATTGGAGGATCCAAGGCGCTTCGGAGGCTTTTCTTCACAATCTCAAAATGTCAGACGCCTCAAGGAGAGACTTGAAAAGATCCATGCCGAGTTGGATGGAGAAGAAGAAGCCTAATAACCAGCAGTTGACTGAAGCCAGGGACTTGTTCGATACATTGACTTTTTTTTCTTTAAAGTAAAATAAACATGGGAAACTACTATGCAAAACGCTCTGTATATATTGATCAGAATGTAGTCAATACCCTTTTAATAAGTGTGGTGATGAGGACGATTGAAAACAGAACGAGTAGTGACCCCTGTGTAAAAAGAATGGCTGAAGTTTGTAAACTGGAAGACATTTTGGATATCGTTCGTTCTGGCAGTACTATTCCGGGTATTGGGAAACGATTGTAAACGAAACATTTAAAGTGGTCCTGGAATCTTCATTTTCCGAAACATTCTGTAACATTATCTCAGAAATGAAACAAATATCAAAAGTGTATCATGTGCTCTCATTGTATGCTCTGTTTGTAGATGTAATGCATATTTGTGTCGAAAGCAGCATACACATGAATATTCTGACTGAAGTGAAAAAACTCCATCACGATATTTCCAGTAATATGGGGAATTCTAAGCTGGAGACAGTCCTGGGGATGTTACAATCAGTATAACTATTTGATTTTTGTGTGTGAAAAAATAAAAAAAGGGTTTTTTTTACATTTAAAAACTGTTGTCTTCATTATAGCAAGGGGAGCGTGTCTGATACATGTGTATTACAGTCCTTCTTTTTGGTTTTTCAGTGTTTTCTGTGTGTCTGTACACACAAAGCACAAATCATTTAAAACAAACCCCTGAATCAAATTTAGAGAGAACCATTAAGAGTCAGATGCTTGACGAAATCTACTAATACAAAGTACTTCATTATCTACTTTTCAGCTTTTTAAACACAAAAGTGTATCTTTCAGTAACTTTCTCAGAGAATTTAAGCATAAATCTGTCAAATGTTCAAAACAGCCTTGTTTGACTGAAATAGCCTCAAAATCACAAACTGCCATTAGAGTCAGATGCTTACGAAATCTATAAAACAGTGCTTCATTATCTACTTTTCAGCTTTTATAACATAAAGTGTATCTTTCATATCTTTTTGAGAGAATTTAAGCATAATCTGTCAAATGTTAAAACAGCCTTGTTTTACTGAAATAGCCTCAAAATCACAAACTGCCATTAAGAGTCAGATCCTAACGAAATCTACTCAAACAGAGTACTTTCATGGTAGTGGTCAGCTTTTTTATACAAAAGTGTATCTTTCAGTAACTTTTTGAGAGAATTAAGCAAATCTGTCAAATGTTAAAAAGCCTTGTTTTACTGAAATAGCCTCAAAATCACAAACTGCCATTAAGAGTCGAATGCTAACGAAATCTAATAAACAGAGTGCTTTCATGGTAGTGTCAGCTTTTAAACAAACAAGTGTATCTTTCAGTACTTTTTGAGAGAATTAAGC